TGGTTAATATAAGTCCTCTCGATGGCCAAGTAGTTGAAAGCATCGAGCTGTATAGCAAGTGGAAACTCAATGCACATGAGAGAGAACGGCCTAGAGGGAATATGGTAGAGGGTATTGGGAGGCGTGCAGACTTATTTGGAATTAAACACTGACACATACTTGTTGAATTGATGAGATCCGGGGGTCAAAAGAAAGAAGCATAAAGATTCTATGTGAATTAGTTGTTCTTTAGGAATATTTAAATAATTGTGTAAATTATAATGTCAAATGATTAATAATGTTTGAATTTCACCTCTTTGCTCTCATTCATTCCTTAGTGTGCAACTTGCACACTCTTCAAAGGGCTGAGTGAGAACTCTAGTGTAAGACTTTTTATACGCTTAAGTGATGAACTATCATTGTGCAATGATGGGGAGCGCAGGAAGAGGGTGGGGGGGGGGGGGGGCTGAGGGGTATCATTAGTGAAGTGCAATATATCTGTGAGCAAGGCTCCAAAGGCTCCGTGTGTCTAACGCTCACACTAGTCCTCTGTTCTCCCTGTCTCCATCCTGCTCCACTGGTGTATGGATCACTGAAAGGAGTTAAGGGTAAAGATTCAGATAAAACTGACTGATTGTGGACTGGCTGTTTCCACTGCTGTAAACTCCTGATAACTCGTTACTCTAAGAGGAAAGGGCTCAGTGGTGAGTTATCAGGAGTGGCGAGTTTCATTCAAAAATAACAATAATAATAAATTGGTCACTCAATCCACGACTGTTTGGGGGACACGCTGCTGTACCCAATTGGCTGTCGCGTTTCGCCCTCAAAATATACAGTTAATCTACTTTAAAGTGTATTCTGTGAAGCACTTTGAGACGTCTCGAAGACGTAATAAGGAGCTGTATCAAATGCAAGGATTATTATTATTATTATTATTAAACTATGCAACACTGTGTTCAATTTATTGGTTGATATTTTCATCACTTAACTAAATTTTGAAAACACATGTTTGGGACATCTTCCCGGTGTGAATGGCACTACAATGTACAAATGTAATTTTGTTGCTGTTGTTTCACAAAAGACATGACTTAACTTTCATCTAGTTGCTGTTCATCAGGAGAAAGAAACCAGTGAATCATCTGAACTAAAACAATCACTGAACAAAGAGCTCAAAGAAAGAAAGGATTCTGAGACAGGATGCATTTGCCAAGGAAATGTGAGGTTCAAGGACTGAAATTACAAGACAGCAGCAAATAAACTGCAGCTGTTTGTGGGAATTAATATTGCCAGCAATTCTCCAAATAAAACTGCTCACTCATTCCTTGGCTGTTTGTGGAACATTGGTATGCACAAATTGGCTGCCACGTTCACCCACAAAATACACAGTCCAACTCCATAGAATTTCAATTATTACTAATAATTATTATTACTTTTCGTATAATACCTTTCATGTCAGAAGGACTTTCCCAGGATATACTATAAACAATAAAAAATTGCATTTATATAGAGCTATTTTGCATTGGGTGGACATCTTAAAGCCCTGGATAGTCAAGGTTTTGCATCTAAGGTAGGGGTTGGATTCAGGAAGGGTGGCGGCCAAAGGGGGTGGGAAGATGACCAAAGGTGCAGTCAAAGAGGTCGGTCTTGAGATGGACCCTGAAGGAATGCGAGGAAAGGGGCGAGATGAAGGGATTCCAGGATGGAGTTCCAGAGAGTGGGGCACAAAGGCAGAAATCCCGACAGCTAATGAACCAGCCCAATGCCTGCCGAGCGAAGGAAGTGAATGATTTGGTAGGACTTAGGAAGGTCATATAGGAAGGGGGAGCTAATTCTGTGGAGACTTTTATCAATGAGGCCAGGCATCTTGAACTCAATCCTCTGGAGGATAGGGAGCCAGTGGAGCTGAGCGAGCGCAGTGACTGAGTGTTTTATGGGCGAACTTGCAGAGCAAAGCGGTAACAGCAGCTTTGAAAATTTCCAGAGCCCAGAGCAGCCAACCCACTTGCAAGTGAAGAAAATATTGTCACGAAGGAAATGCTAACTGGAGGGAGGTAAACAATCCAAAAACATTTAAATGCTAAGTCATCATCGCGTGACGGTTTTTGTTTTAACTCAACAAACTGCATTTATAACTGTAAATAATCCTTGCATTTGATATTTAATATAGCTCCTTATCACATCGTCAAGACGTCTCAAAGCACGTCACAGGATATACTGTGAAGTGGAATGACTGTGTATTTTGTGGGTGAATAAGTTCCCTTCAAGTAGAAATTTACCATAGAAATTTATGGCACAGAAGAAGGCCATTTGGCCCATCGCGTGTGTGCCATTTGTAATGTCTCAGAGCGATTTAGAGAGATGGTGCTGGACACCATGCTGGAGGTGGGAGGAGGGAAGTGAGCATAGGCAAAGTCGAAGTAGTATGTTTTCTACAAAGCAGAAATACTTAACTACATCTGANTTTTTTTCAAACATTTCATAATGGTAAATACGTCTATTTAATCCCCTCCTCTCTCAGTCTTCTGTTTCCAAAATAGAAAATCCCTTGAATGGTCAAACTTTCCTATAGTTGTGAGCCCTAAAACCTGCAATGAATCTAGTAGTGCTCAACAACTGAATGAGGTGAGAATTACAATACTCAGTGTGATAACTACTACCAGAAGCCAAGGGTGAATAACTCTCTCCCCTCCAACTTTGTGTAAATGGTTTCCTCCGAGACCACCCCTGAAATCCTCACTTGGAGAGCCAGAGAGCAGAAGAACAGTTCACTAATCGTTGCAATCCAGGTGGATTATATCCTGAGCCTTTAAGAGTACAGAGAGAAGATAAAAGACATCTGTGCATTTCCAAATCAGGCTAATCCTTCGCAACAGTAGTTTCAATACTCAATACAACTCTGTAAAAGTGAGATGAAAGCCATCTTTGCTCAGGTTCTCCAAAAGCAATTGCTGCAAATTATATGGTAACTCAGAGCGAAGAGGGCAGCAAAAGTATCAATATGTTTTCTTTTCCTTTGCTGGAGAGGTGGAGGCTTTAATCACAAGCCAGTTAGTGTTGCAAGCTTTGGAGTTGAATCAGTGCTTCTCAGGAAAGTGGTGGCATGACTGGTGTCTTGCCCCGTGGGTAAAAATGCTTTGCAGGGAACCCAGGTATGTCATGCTGCCCCATAGGATCTGTGGGTGTTTAAAGGGCATTGGTGTACGCAAATTGGCTGCACCATTTATCTATAAAATACCCAGTCGTTACACTTTACAGTAAAATCCTGTGAGCACTTTGAGACATTCACTTTTAATGCGTATCAAATGCGGCAATCAACATCTTTTTTTAAAAAAAATCCTTTCAGAAAGTAGGAAGGGGAGGAAAAACAATGTTATAAAGAGGGAACTTTACTTGTTTCATTTAAACATAAGTGAGTAAGGGAAGGTCTCAGTGACAAACATGTTTGATTCATATCTACTCTTGACCCTGAAAGTTAGCACACTCTGCCACATCCTGGATTACAAATTGCTTTTCTTTCCTCCTGCTCTCCCACTACCCAAAACAAAAAGACCAGACTGTCAAGGTCTGTGTGTTGAAGCTTCTGTTTATTTTGCAAAATCGTTTTTAAGAAATCGGGCCAGCAGGGTTCTGGGGCTGTGCAATCCACTCCTTTTATTTTGCTGGATGGATTCCAACAACAACTTGTACTCACCAGCCTGGTCAACAACAACAAAATATAGCGCCCTTCACACAGGGTAACATCTCGGAACTCTTAACAGTGGTGGAGTTTGACCCCAAGCCAGGGGTAGGGGAGAGGTGATAGTAAGCATAGTCGAAGGAAAGGTCTTCAGTTATGATCTGAAAATGGGGAAGGAGGGGTCAAGGCAGAGGGATTGAGGAGGAATTGCACTGGAACACTCAAAAAACTGCATGTGCCAGCTTGTGTTTGTGCAGTTAATCATGAATTTTATTTCTAACCCCTTCCACTTTCTCCAATGGTTGGTGAAAGTTTGTACAGGCTGGTGAGTAAAACACATTGCACTGGAAAAGGGGTGGAGCGGAGGGGGCGGGGGGGGGGGTCTAATTTGCATTATTTGCAAGAGGGGTAATTGCTATTTTCAAAACTTGCCAAAATGCAAAAAATAAAAATCCCGGAGAGCAACTTGTCATTTTTTTCTGCCCGGGAGACTTTTTGCCAATTGCAATTAGGCATATTGGCTATTAACTCTATGGCACGGTGCTGTGCTCTGTCCATTGTAGGATATTACCGTGCGCAAACTGCCTGCTGCATTTGCCCACAAAATACACAGTCACATCACTTTACAGTACATCCTGTCACGCGCTTTGATTATACGCTATATCAAATGCAATAATAATAATTATAATATTATTGTGGATATTGCAAATTGAACAGAGAAATGGAAGTTGAAAATAACGATTCTCACCCCTTACTTAACAAACCGTACTGGACTGGAGTAGATTAATGTTTCTCCCCCCACCCCCACCCTCCCAAACTGCAGATGGTGAAAGGTTCATAGTAAGGGTCATCTCAGGGAGAGGGTAAAATTCACAACAGCGAGGAAGTGGACAAATATAGGTCAGAAATCCAGTCAGGCCCTGTTATACCACAGTATACCAGTTTCTAGTGCTGCAGACTGGATGTATCTGGCTACCGTTGGGGTTTGGCCAAGTTCCTGGCATGGCACCAAGCACAGAAGGCAGCCTGGTGTCACTGGTGTGCTGGCAACCACTGGAAACACTCATTTGGCTTCTTGGGCTCTGTGCCCATGTGCAGGAAGCCGTCTGGATCTGGAAGTGATGTCGGTGTCAACCTGACAACTTATGTTGTCCGGCGGCCATTTGTATCACTGGGGGAGGGGGGCTGGGGGGGGGGCTGATTTTATAGACTCAGATGACAGTGTTACAGCAGGGTCCTGCTGCAGTAATGAATTTCAAATCAACGTTATCTTTTGATTGAGAAGTACTGAGAGGTTTACACCAGGAGATTGAAGGAAAACTCCGTCCGTGGATGAACACATTACCTGATGTCATGTTGTGAATTGGAGTGGCAATGTTGACATCCTGGAGATGCTCAAGTGTTTCCGTGTGAAACAAGCGCAGAGCAGATCCGGAACTGAAGGCGATCCAGACGCCAACTCCAGCCACAGCCATGTGTGAGATCACCATCCCTTCCTCTTGGTGAGCTTCAAACTGTTGCTGAAATTAAAAATATCACGACAATGTTAATAAGCCAGGACAAAAAAATTCAATAATAAATAATAATCCTTGCATTTGATATAGAGCCTTATCACGTTATAGAGGCGTCTCAAAGTGCTTCACAGGATACGTCAAGTGGTGTGACTGCGTGCATTTTGTGGACGAAACTTTGCAGTTAGTCGCTTAGGATTTGTTGATGAGTGCAAACTGAGGGGGCTTAAATGTAAGATAGTCAGAAGCAGATCTAATAAGAATCTTAGGCGGAATTTCTTCATGCATAATAATAATAATCTTTGCATTTGATATACCACCACTTTACCGTATAACCTGCATAACCATCCAGAGTTTAGGGGGCGTAAAATAGGCAGAAAGGCTGAAGCCTCAGCCATTAATAGTGGTACAGAGAGGCAGGGGACGGGGAGCAGCCTGTGTGAGCTGAGCATGGGGGCGGCAGAGGAGTGGGTTACAAGGACATCAGAGAGATAGGGAGGTAGATAGCGAGGAGAGATACTTGTGAGTGAGGGGTTTATATGTGAGGTGAGGATCTTGAAGTCGATCTGTTTGGAGCCTGGGAGCCAGGAGAGTCTGGCGAGGTTTCGGGTGATGGGCATGCGGAGTTTGGTGCGGGTGAGGATACAGGCTGTGGAGTTTTAGATTAGATAAATCTTGTGAATAGTGCAACTAAATACCCTTGCCCCATCTGACCACCCATTTGCAAAATACTTTATTCTTTGATATACGGATCAGATTAGTCACTGGCTGCATTAATGATCAAAAATGAGAGCACAAATGCAAATAGAATCTGACCAGCGCACACATATATACTTACATTAGATTATCATTTGTGTTGTTACATGAACAGAAATCATAATTTAAATGAACAAATTGGCCACAAAATGCATTAATTACATTAGCAAGGAGACAGGAAATTTATACTAGCCTGTTTACAATACAGCTATCCTGGGGAAATAATTGCACAACAATAAACTTTTGTACTGTTTCACATTAACACACTTTGCATTTAAAGAGTTTATATTGGAGAATCTGGTTAATACCTTCATGAGTGGGTTTGGAATATAAATAAGGCATCAGTTCAGTAAAATTCAGTTATGAAATACCCACGTTTCATCTGAATGTATTGCTAGCTTCCTCAGTGCTCTTAATAATCATTAACATTGCTGAATTGGCAACTTTTCAATACGGTCTCTCCCCAACATTCAGTTTCACCCTGTGCAGTTATGTGGAGTCCTGTAGCTCAGTGGTTAGAGCACTGCTTTGCAAGTGAGAGACCTGAGTTCAATTCCAGGCAGGGCGAAACCTTGGGCAAGTTTCCTTACTCCACACGTCTAATAATAATCCCTCCAAAAAAAGAAAAACAATAATAAATTGGTCATTTTCAATCTACGACTGTTTGTGGGACATTGCTGTGCGCAATTGGCTGCCGCGTTCGCCCACAAATATACAGTTAATTCACTTTACAGTATATTCTGTGAAGCGCTTTGGGACGTCTAGAAGACGTGAAAACTGCTATATCAAAATGCAAGGATTATTATTATTATGCAATTTCTTTAAAATAAATGCAATTTCTTTTTTGATGAAGATACAATGGAACAGCTATAATTTTCACCTTTTCATTACACCCCTGTTTTACCTCTGCCCCTGACAATTAACACCCTCCCATCCCATGGGTGCTCTTGTACAGTAAAGACTTGGGTCCACACAGTCTTAAGTTACGAGTGTTGTATTAGTGCGATCTGCCTGAAAAGCCCCACTGAAATTCAGTAACAAGAACAGTCTGTGAAACTGCGCTGTTTATGTAATAAGACAGATTGCTTTTATAGCACTTAAAGCTAGTTTCCTGACTTAATGTTTCAGGCCTGTCTACCAATGTCATTGATGGATTCAAGGAAATGTCACTTAAATATCGGCATCAGTCTCCCATAACTAATTAATCGAAAGGCCGAAATCCCATGTAATGAAATGCTACTGGTGTGGCACTGGGAAGCAAACAGTGTCTGAAACAGTATTTCTATTTAACAACAACAGTAACTTGTGCTTACATAAGATATGAGCTTAATTTGGGCATTGTTCAAATGCAATTGAAGTAAAAGTTCACAAATTTTCAAACAATACATAAAGATTCATGGCTCCATAGTTACTGCAGAACACACCAGGTCCTACCTGTGTAAGTACAACTTTTGTATATTGACTTGACTTACAGGGGGAAAAAGGGAAGGGATAGAGAAGCACTCTCAATGCACTGAGTCCTTCGTTAGGAAACAAGGACGACTCAAGATCAACAACCAAGAATGAAAAGAATGCCAGTTCGCATTGTGCTGAGCCTGCGGCTGACATCAAACCTCTGCCAAGTTTGAAACAGTATTTCTATTTAACAACAACAGTAACTTGTGCTTACATAAGATATGAGCTTAATTTGGGTTAATGTCTCAAAGTGTTTCACGAAGATGATGAAGATCGATGAAGGGGAGCTTGAGACGTTGACCAAAGGTACCATCAAAGAGACGGTGACTTTGAAAACAGGGAAATATGCTCGTGTCAGCTTGGCTCACTCAGTTGGTAGAACTCTGTATTAGAAGGTTGTGGATTCAAGTCACATGCTAGGATTTATAGCTCAGTGTAGGCTGAAATGCTCCATGTCAATCGCTGTATAAATGCAAGTTGTTGTTGTTGTAGACTGACACTCCAGGACAGTGCTGGGGAAGTGCTACATTACCAGAAATGCTGCCCTTTGTATGAGACAGACTGCCTGTTCAGGCAGACATTATTGGTCATATCGCATTATTCGAAAAGGGTAACAAGTTTCTCCTGGTATCCTGGCCAAACATCCTTCCAGTAAAATCGTTCGTTTACCTCATAGCTGTTTGTTGGATATTGCTGGGTGAAAATTGGCTGCCACGAATGGCTAAATATGCAGTCTCTACACTTGACAGCAATTCCCTGTAAAGTGCTTTGAGACATTTCACTGTTATTGGCACCGAGACAAATGGAAGCATAATTACAAAAACTGTGGTTAGTTGAAGTTGAATGCATAATAGCTTTTAAAAGACAAATATTTAAACAAGATATATGAGTGCTTAAGGGGAAAGGGCAGAGGAATTGTGCAGAATGGATTGCTTCTTTCAGAATTGGCAAAATCACAATGAGCTGAATAGCCTTCTTCAGTGCTGTAAACGTCTACCATTCTATAATCACAGCCTGCGCACAATAACTACTACAGAGCAGATAAGGATGAGTCAGGAGATTTATACTCGTGTGTTCTCAATACTGTATTTAAATGGCCTGAAATTCCATCTAAGCATAACCTGTAAGGCCAGTTTATCTTAGACCTCACAGAATTGTGAACATTCTTAAATTCAGTCTTAATTTGAAACCAGTTTTAAAAAAATACAGTTTCCACATTCAGACTGGATTTTCCACAACTGTGGAAATTATAGGACAAAATGGTCTAAAGAATAAATGGAAATTCCAGCCCATAGCATACTTCTGCCAATGGCTGAATCTACCATAAAACCCGCCATGAAACAACGTACTATTCCTAAAAAAAATTCCCCAACAGATGAACAGGTGTTTATGAAAATAGATACAAGAATCGGGATCAAAAATGTATTGAAAAATAATCACCCACTTTATTTTGAATAAGTCTGACTGCTGGTTGGCAGGTTTTGCAGCACGTTGAGATGCAATGTGTGGTACGTGATGTATTACCTAATTATTAGGGACAATTAGCATAACACTAAACATGCAATTCAGACATGTCTCTAGTTATCAACCATTTTGGGAGTGAACGGAACTCCCACCTGACTTCAGTACAAGTGTTTGGCTCAACCTCAGTCAAACTCACCACAGAGGCACTGCCATTTGGCTCAGTTGGTAACACGTTGGAACCTTGCAATCACAGTCTATGATAATAATCCAGTGCAATCCTGGGGGAGTGCTGCATTGTCAGAGGTGCTATCCTTTGGATGAGATGTTAAAATGAGATCTCATCTGTGGTTCAACTGGATGTTAAAGATCCTTTGGCACTATTTGGCAAGGGAAGAGAATTTCTCCAAGTGTCCTGGGCAATAGTCCCCCAAATAAAATTGATCATTCACCTTCATGGCTGTTTGTGGAATATGTTGTGTGTAAACTGACTGCTGCGTTTGCCTACAAATACAAAGTCACTACACTTTAGAGTAAATCCTGTGAAGTGTTTTGAGATGGTTCGGAGATGTGATAAGATCTTTACAAAATGCAAGGATTATTTAATTTAATATCAAACCCTCTCACTGCACTGAACAGCGAAACACTGACTGAAAGATTCCAAACGTGGGAGGTGACACAAAGATAACAGTTCTCAGAGACCAATACTGGCCTGCATCCACACTGCTGTCTCAAAGTGGAAGGGGGTGAGGGAGAAATAGGGATGTTCACTCCCAAATCTGTCCACAACTAACGACAGATTTTGTTTGCACTTTTCAGCCAAGTGATAATTATTGCCAATGATAATTATCACATCACCTGCTGCATTTTTCACCTCTATGCTATGTATTCGCCAACAAAACTACAAAGCCTTTGCTGAGTTTGCTCAGCATCGCTTGAAAGCTACTTTGCACCCAACACACAAAGCCTTTCTGTTTCTAACAAATAGGAATCCTGTTACCATGTATCTAACATTCCACAAGATGAAAAGAACAAAAACATTTAACGTGAATATTGTGTGGCTCCAGCGATCTGTGGCACTGAACAAATAAACACAAGATGAGATTTAGAAAGCACAAAGTGTGATGGAATTCCACAGCAGGTCAAGAGCTTGTGAAAGAGAAAGATAAGATCAACCGTTCAGCCATGATCCTCGTTATAATCCATGAGGAAAGGGTTGCACCTGAAGAGATGGACTGACCCATAGATTCTCAGTATTAACAGTTTTTTCCTTTTATCGCTGAGATTTCCAAATCCCTGAGTTGTGATTATATGCCTTTGAGAGTATTGGGTTGGGTTAAACACACCATTCCAGCAGTATTTATTGCAGGTTGTAAATGGGCAACTTTGACCATCGTTTGCCACTGCAGTCAATTAGGCAACATTTATAGGGAGTTGTGAAGTTATAGGCTAGCTCTACTGGAGGCCACAGATTGCCACAGTTTATCATAAATCACTAGCAAAATTGAATAAATATAAGCACATAAGAGCTCGTTTAAGACAAGAACATCTTAAACATTTTTACCCTTAAAGCAGCAATTTTGCATTGGTGGGAAAGGCTAAACAATGGATAATAATAATAATGAATAATAATCCTAAATCCTTGCCTTTAATATTGCGCCTTTTATGTCGGGAGCATATGTCTGAGCGCTTCACAGGATTTTATTGTAAAGTGAAATGTATTTTGTAAACAAACACGGTATCCAATTTGCACACAGCAATGTCCCACAAACACCCAAGGACATAAGCCATAAAGGCATAGATTTAATGAAGAGTCGCCCTAATGATTTGGGAGAATTTGCGTATTCCTGGATTCTCTGGAGGTGATCCGGGGTGGAATGGGGGCGATTCAGAACCCTTTTTAAGGAAAACCAAGTTAAGAAATACCGCAAATTAGATCCTTTTGTCCTAAAAGTATATAAAAAAGATAGGTTTCAAAGTACCTCCACAGTGTGAGTCCTCGTGTTGATGATGAAAACCTGCCCTCCAGAAGCTGCCCAGAGGGATTCTTCCATTCCAAGCATGATCTTCACTGGCAGGTCACTGAGCTTCAGGACTTTGGGTGACTCCGACTTCCATGTTCCATCTTCAAAAAAACAAATGTGAGAAATTATTGCACCAAAAGTTCTACCCACCATAAAGTTGCTGCGAACAATAATAATCCTTGCATTTCATATAATGTCTTATCACATCGTTGAGCACCTTGGGACGTCCTCCAGACGTGAAAGGCACTATAATAATGTAATTTGTTGTTCTTGTTGAGATGTCTCAAAGTGCTCACAGAATATACTGTAAAGTGAATTTACTATATTTTGTTTGTGAAACACGGCAGCCAATTGCGCACAGCAGTGTCCCATAAGCACAGACAAAAGAAAGGCCTGTCGTTCTCATGAACTGACAAAAAACAGCAGTTTTATAGATTGTTTTTTTTCCCCAGAAATCTCTTGAGGAGCTGAGCCACTAAGCTGCTTTATCCCACTTGATTTCAGTGCAATTTCAAATCAAATATAGATGTTATTTGTTGTTGTTGATTTCAAACGTCATGTTCGAGGCTTGATATCTCCCACCATTTATCTAGTTTAATAGTTGTGTTTGATATCAACAACAATTTATATTTACATGGTGCCTTTCACAATGGAAGCACATCTCAAAGCAGGACTTAAAGTGCTTCAGACAGCTGTCCGAGAGCCTAATGTGGAGGGGAGAGGGGAAGGAAAGGTAGCTGAAAAATTACATAGTGGATAAAGAGGATTTAGGGAATAAATTTGCAACATTTCATAATGGCTTTGATGTAATAATTACATCAAGTGTATTCCCATTGGAGGAGAAATTCCACCCGGGACTAGATTTACCGTATTTATGTAGTAGCATTTTAGAGAGTACAGGATTTAGCAAATTCTTAAGCACAGCCTTAATTTTGAGGCTGTATTTTCTGTAAATTTATTTGAAGAACTTACCAAAATCAAACTTCAAAGTTCAGACTAAATTCAGAAATCTACCGAATTCTGGATGCCTTAAAATGTTGCGTAAATGAGAGTAAATCTCAACCCAAGATAGAATTTTTAACACAATATTGTTTTATCATTCGAAAAACATCTCGCAAACAGACCAACCTAGTTATCTGGCTTTCAGTTCATTTGAATGCTGGATGATTGTTATCCAGGATACTGGAAAAATTTCCTGACCATTTTCTAGATCGTGCTATTTAACATCTACCAAAACCACAAAGAATGACAAGTGAGACTCGTTTTTTAATGACGCACGCAAAGGTTAGGAATCAGTAAAACACTGTTCAGTTGTCTGAAGAAAGAGCATCTCTAACAGTTCCATAATCTCTCTTTAAAACCCAAATGGCTTATGATTTACTGACACCAGTAACTCATGTCACTAACATTGTTACCAATATTCTCGTGAGATATTTTACCTTACCGATGACGTATTGTTCCAATAGTAACCCTACCAGCGTAATGTTTTTAAAGTTGAGAAACCGCGTGAAAGGCCATAGTGCATAACATCACCAGGGTGAAAAGTGCAAGAGGGAAAATGGCATTCCATCATTTTATAAGATGTGGAAGACGAACCAAAATTATGCTTTTAAAACATTATGCTTTACAAATTAAAATCACAGTTAATAATAACAATCCTTACATTTGGTTTGGTACCTTTCATGTTGGGAAGAAGTCTCAAGTGCTTTACAGAATATACTGTAAATTGTAGTGACTGTGTGTTTTGTGGCGAAATTGACAGTGGAGTACTACAGGAACAGAATCAACAAGTATCTGCAAACGGATCCAGTAATTCTCCACAAATATACATATCTCATCACAATTAAAGCAGATTTCTCAAAATCATCCTGAATGCAAATCACAGGAAGTACAAATAATGCAGTGACTTAAAACTTAGGGGGCTTAGGTCAGCCCATAGAAATCATCCTATAAAAGCCACTTTCATTTGAAAAAAAGCAGACAAACAAAATGTGTTCAGAGTGTACTGTCTCCACCATATAATTTCTAGAGACATTTATATTTTCTCTGGTGATTTGTTCCATTCTTACATCATTTTCCATGTACAAAACAAAACCATATTTCTATCCTTTGACGGTCAATATAACAGCAATTGAATTTATATAGCGCCCTTCAAGCAGGTAGTGAACTTTACAATACATTCTGTGAAGCCCTTTGAAATGTCTCTACGATGTGATAAGACGCTTATATCAATTGCAAGGCTTATTATTTTTATTAGTGTATCAGAGCCCTTAACAGTGGCAGAGCTTGATGCAAAGCTGGTGATCAGTCTAAGTTTTAATAATAATGCTTACATTTGGTATAACGCCTTTCACATTAGGAGGACGTCTAAAAGCGCTTTGTAGGATACAATATAAACTGTAGTACCTGTTTTTCGTAGGGGAATAAGTTGCTCTTATTCATTTTGGATAAATCAGGGTTGAGATTTTGCCACAGAAGATGGTACGATGGATACTACAAATGTGTGGTTCATTTGCAAGATGTTTATGGGTGTTCTAGCCCTTAGATTAGGAATCAACTTTTCCATTTTTTCTCTGTGCTGCTATGATCCCAATAATGAATCACACAGGAGACCTGCTATTTTGCTCATTTGTTTCTAAGGAAATGTTTCTATGGTTCCCCTCTCCTTCTCTCTGCTCAGGGATCCCCAATGGTCACTGTGAAGCTCTGAGATGTTCATTCCTAGTCAATCCCCTTTACAGTATATCATGTGAAGTGTTTTCAGACATCTTGACAACATGATAAGGCTCTATATCAAATGCAAGGATTATAATTATCATTACAATATTTTGCCCACAAAATTTACCATCAATCAACTTTGCAGTATATTCTGTGAAGCACTTTGTGAGGTCTCAAAGATGTGATAAGGCGCTACATCAAATGCAAGGATTATAATAATTACTATTATTCTTAAAACGGTTGTAAAATTATTTCATAAATCTGCTCTGAATGACAAACATCTGCTCAAAGTTTCTGTTCTTCCCTGTTAGAGTTTAGTAATAATCTCAGTGCATGGTGTCCAAACCACCTGCCAGACCATATGTAAGACAAACCCCATCCTCACTGTACAGCCTTTACTGGGATTGAGCATGTCCGTGTCTATACTGTGACGCTAGTGAAATCATAGGGAAGGAAACATGTGGTGAAATTCCACTGATCAATGAAGTTATTGACCTCAGCAGTGTGTGTCTGTAAGGAAAATCCCATCAGAAATACATACCACTGCCACCACACCTCAGGAGTAGTGAACAGTGCCAGCAAATGATTCCAGTGAAGGCCAGCAAACATTATGTCACTTCGGAATCGAGACGTGTGGCCAAAGGCAGCAAATACCCTCGGTTGTGTTTCTTTTAATACGTGGAAAACAAATGAATGCTGGAAATCACCTATGAATACTTACGAAAATTTCCGAACTGAAAAAAATCCCTAATGAAACTGAAAAAGCTGATGAAAGACATGAAAGCACAAATTATACCAATTGTGGATAATGTGAGTTTCAGATTACAAACTGGCGACATAAGAAGAAAAGCAGAAAACCTTAAAGATTAGATTACTAGATTAGCCACTAAAGATTAGATTGGTTTCCCATTTGCAAGAGCAGCCAAGATGTGGAATAGGATCTGGCAAAACCGATTAGTGCTATGTCAATCACTGGTACATCCTTAGAGAACAAAACTGTATGCAATTCTTTTCAAGGAGGATGTAAGGATATCGATAGGCATTGCTGAGCAAATTCTCTGCTCAACACAGTGGTTTCTTTAATAAAAACAGAAGTCGCTGGGAATACTCAGCAGGTCAAGCAGCATCTATGGAGAGAGGAAAGTGAATTAGCATTTCAGGTTGATGACCTTTTGTCAGATGACCTGCTGAATATTCCCAGCGACTTCTGTTTCTATTTCAGATTTCCAGTAACTGCAGTATTTTGCCTTTTGTTTTCAGTGGTTTCTTTATGCTGACACCATGGATGAGTAATGCTGATGAGCTGAGCAGAATAGCAGAGGCTGCAAAGATGGGCAAATGATGAGCGAGGTTTATCAGCAGGAAGTATTGGTAAGCTTCACCATGCTTGTTTAGTTAACACTGCCATATCTATTAAGCCTCTGGCATACAGAGTCTGTATCTCCCAATCCCATCAATGATGAGGACATGGCTACATCTCCAAAATTCATTGTTGAACCAGACTGGATGGTCAAGTCAACCATCAAAATTAACTTGGATCACCTTCCACTCAAGGGAAACCTTGTTTATTAATCCTTACCCTCCCCTGGACATTTGATAGAACAACAGCAACAACAATTTTACATTATACAGCACCTTTCACATCAGGAGAACGTCTGATAAATGCAATTCATCATCAGAGCCACATCAGAATGAACGGCTCAAAGACCATCTGAACCCAAGTTTGCTTCTCCAGCAATCAAGCTGCCGAGATCAGGTGGGCTGGTCCCGAATCTTCTGGATTGATAACTAAAATTTTCTTTTTTTCAGCCTTGAACAGGAAGAGTTTCAGCCATCTCTCTATCTCCTAGACAAGTCAGACTTGGAAAATGAATACAACCCAAAAAAAATCTATACCAGCAGCGAAACACAGGGCCTACAAAACACAAAACCACTCTCGCCTCAGAGTTGCACAATTATTGAGAGGACCAAACACACTTATCAGGAAAGAGATGTCACCTGCTGGTATCCTTAAAGCTTTTCTTCATTAAAATCAGGAAAAGCTTTAAAGAATATCACAGATTTTACCCCATTGGTACATGGAAACAGGAGGAGCCCATTCATTCCATTGAGATGCTACCCTGCCTGAAGGTTGATATATAAATGCAGTTGTTGTTGTTGAGCTTGTGCCACAATTTATTAGATCATGGCAGATCTTTTTAATTCCATCTTTCCATTACCAACAGAACCAAAATTATAACCATTTGGACAAACTCCTCTTTCCACCCTCCTCACCTCCTACCACCACATATATATTCACATTGCTTTCCTACCCCAAATACCGGATATTATTTTTGGACTCGTGTCACATTAATTGCTGGCTTCTGCCAACATTGCTGTTAAT